AGAGCAACGAGCACGGTATAGTACGGTTCTAATAATTCTAAGTGCTTTAATAGTACAGCATAGCTTTTATTTCAGGAAACAAGCGCAAAAACTTATCCAGAACATACTGACAGTAGTAATTTAGCTTAGCGCGACTGAAACAAGGTAAAAGCGCGCAGTGATACACATCCTGAGTGATAAAATTCCAGAGTTGGATCTATGTGCAACTCATAAGGCTCAAGGGACTTAAGTGTCAAGGGGTTGCGTGAAATAATTTCGTTCAGAAATAATGTCAATTTCTCAAAGCTACTTATATTGCAGTGAATATAATTGCTTGTTATTGTGCGCGTTTTTATTTACAATAATTACAATCATTAATGTAATACCCTCCCAAAACGTTGCATTTATGATTCAAGATATTGCATAAAGGATATCGATGTCGATGCTATTTGTCACTGTTGCGCGAATAAATTAAGCATCCAGAACAGTTGATATTTTATTTAGAATTAATAAAATTGGAATATTATATATTCTGACAAGTTCAATTATCGCTGCGTATGCTGCAGTTTACTTGAATTGCGGAATTATACGGAACGAACATTTTGCCATTTGGTTTAATTCCGTAATTCAGAACTACGTGTTGACAACACCTAATTCTGTACGTGATTCAAAAATTTAGGACAAGGGAAAAGGCGGAGAAAACTTTGATTAATATTCATAAATCATAGGAATATTGAGTAATATAATCATCGAACGATGCACAAACGTGAGAGCCATAGCCCGTGTTTACGATTACGCTCCGTTTATCAAGTTTTTGTATCATTCATCGAATCTGCCGTTAATCAACAATCCATTGTGGACATTTAAACCGTACGTATTCGATGTGTGAGCACGATTACGAGTCGTTCTCATATTTATGCAATGAATAAACTGCACGATCGCCAATTATTATCGAAAGGCCGCAAAATGGATATCTGGAAATGCAAAAGATAATCACGCGGTTAATGATTCGCTACGTTATTATGACGTCGCTGGATATATCGATTCAAAGCGACGGATTTATCTACAAGTATACGCAGTATAAACTGTAACAAATGATACGCAATGATAATTGAACGAGAACTCGCGTCAGAATATTTAATATTCCATTTTTATTAAATAAAATAAAATATCAAATAATGTAAAAATATTGAAATATTAAATAAATATTTATACTGCTGAAATATTAATAAAAAATTTAATTTGAATATTAACATAAAAAAAGGAGAATGCAATGATATTTCCGATTAATATAAAGAATTAAGCCTTAATAAGAAAAAAATTCCTATTTTTTGATCAAAGCGGATCTTTATCCTTGAATAATGTCCATATATAAATTTACAAATATATTTTTCAGGATGTTTATTAAAATATAAAAAAATTTCCTGAAAATTCCCAGATTTTCCTGGTATTTTTGTTCAAAATTCCGGGTAAAAAATTAGAGAATTTTTTAAATGCAACTTTGAAATAAATCGGAATCAAGTAACATAAATAAACTATCTATTGAAAATTAAGAGGAAGATAGGAATGTTATAAGACTATATCTATCATTTTTTATAATTTAAAGCTGCGAAATATAAAGAAAGTTTGCTACATATAATAATGTCAGTGAACTACTGTATTCTACTGACAATGAGTATTGCCTTCTGATGTATCTATTGTCAACCTGACTTTTTTAATAAAAACTCGCGAAACGCACACGAGAATATATGTGTGTGAATATACACGAATATGTAAATGCCGTACTTATGCTAATTGTCAACATTTTGCATTATTATAACAAAAAAATATCAAAGAAACAATGAAATTTCCAGAAAGAGATAGAATTTAAATTTACAAGTCAAATTCCAAAAAATTCTTTAAATATTGATGAAATTTCATAAAAATTTTTAATTTTTAAAAGCAGAAAAGAAATCTTCTAAAAATTCTAGATTTTCTAAATACTATAGTAAACGTTGTTTTTACAGTTTTATTTTTTATAAACTGTATGCCAATTCGGTTTATCGAACTTGTAATACAATTATAAATTGAAGTTGGAAATAACATCACAAATTACATCAATCGTCAATTGAAAAACTGCAAAGAACTTATTGCGAAAAATATCACCTCCGACGGAATTCGAACCTAGATCTCTCTCATTTCGTGCGAGCGTTTTATTAATTCGATTACAAGGCATAGAGATATATATTTGCCGCAATAACCAGTAATTAGTGAGAGAACGTCGTCTTTTCAAGGAGACATTAGAACAGCTCTATATGAAAGTCTTTCGCGTATTTATTATTAGCATTATTATTAAATTGACGATCAATGTATATTTTCAGCTTCAGTTTATGATTGCGTTTCAAGTCCGATAAACTGAATCGGCGCGCAATTTATAAAATTTAAAATAAAATGTATTTGCAAATTTCCATTAACTATACAAGCATCAAGATTTGTTCTGATCAAAAATAAAAATCTCTCTCTTATTTGATTTATTTCTGTCGATATAAAATTTTCATTTACAATCTTTGTTATTTTATGTTAAGTCCTTAATATTAAAAATTTCAACTTATTACATTCATTATATTCCATCGGAACAGCGAAAACTGCCAAAATCAACCGCATAATAACGTTGCTCTATCTCTTGTGAGGGAAAGCCGATCTCAAGCCTCTGAACAGATTACGATGTCTGCTAATGAAGATGATCATTATCATATAATTGTAAGACGTATTTGCAGTAGCTTCTTGGTCCGAGCAAACACCTAGTAATGATGCACTCTCGTACGTTCACAAGCGGTGGTAATTGATCTTTCACAGCGCTTATGAAAGCAACGTCATATATCACAAGAGATCCGATCACGTCAACAAAGTAAGCTCGAAAGAATGGACGTGTGGTGTAACGGGGCTTTTGCAAACTCGAATGATAAATGTTTCAAACTATTTGTATTCTTTTTAATAGAGATTAAATATTTCGACTTCGACGAAAACAAAAATACTGCTCTGTACTTTGATCAGTTGAATAAAATTAAATATAAGATCTAGTAAAAAGAAATCCATTATTTTTCCAATAGATGACTTTAGTAATCTGTATCTCGCGTTGTATAAGTGTGATCGGGTTACGCTGGCGTTAGAAAGATAAGATTTCGTACTAAAAAAACTTCTCAGACAGTTTTGTGATTGCTTGACTCAGTATTGTTTGAGCGCGCGTCAAAGATGGACACCAGCAAAGAGAAAATATGCCATATTTTACAGTTTTTCTTCGATAAAGGCGAAAACGCAAGCCAGGCGAAAATGTGAATAGTGTTTATGGTCCTGATACTGTAACAGCCAATCACGCGCAATTTTGGTTTCGTCGATTCCGTTCCGGTAATTTTGACGTCAAAGATGCACCACGCTCTGGAAGGCCAATTGTCGAAAATGTCGATAAAATAATGGAAATCGTCGAGTCCGACCGTCATGTAAGCACTGTTTTGATTGCCCAGGAGCTAAACATTGCACAAAAAACCGTTTGGAACCATTTGAATAAGGCTGGATATAAAAAGTTACTACACCTAATATCTGCAGCAATCGCAAACGATTAACCCTCAAACAGAAACTATCAGAAACTGTCAGTTTGATTTCTAGAAGAAAGAAAATATAATGGGGTAATTCTTATCCAACTTTGTTACGAGCACACGCAAACCTGAAATTTAGATGTAATAAATATGCGATTACAGAAGCGCAAAAGATTATCGAAACCAGTTTTGTGGTAGAGCGGCTTTCTTAAGAAAGTTACGATCGGTTGATCGTGTGTGGTCATGCTATCTCGTACTTATGCGATCAATCCTTTATTCTTAACATTCTCAATACGTTTATTCAGCAATGCCATTCAATGATCGAATGAACTGCGATGTTTCAATGCAAGTTACAAAGACGTCATTGATGGTTTCCTATTTCAAGTTGGTTTTACATATTGTTTTATATATGTATTATATATAACATATGTATATTGCATACATAAGTATTATAGAAGTAAAAAGGCATTAATGATGCTTTTTATACAACGACGAGAAGTAATGTCGCAAAACGAAGAGAAGGTGATGTGATGACACCCTCAAATATCAAAACCGTCTGGTACAATCAGGATAATTGTACGAGGGGAATATTTTAAGCGATATAATTCGTCGACGCGCGTGTTGCACAAAAAGAATGCTCGGTTAATAATGCAGGAACATAAACGCTAACATCGCCTGCCTTTTTCATGAGATACCGGCGCTGTGCACGATGAAGGAACAGTAATGTTTATTTAATAGCCCCATTTACGTTGGACGAACTGCACCACGGACTTCACCGTGTAAGAACAGCGATTTTATATTTTATAAGCGAATCGTGTCCCTATAGACGTGCATTTGTTCCTATCGCGCGCATGGCTGCCATCGTTAATCATATCGTTATTCATGTCATAATTATATCAAGTTGTAATTATAACAAAAGAGATAAAAATTCTTGATCGTGAGAAGAAAAATTCAATAACATAAGTTTATATATTTAAAATATTAAACAACTAGTTAAATGCTCTAAAATTTTAATAAAACAGAATTGCACTTTTTATGCCCCCCCCTCTCTCTCTCTCTCTCTCTCTCTCTCTCTCTCTCTGATTAAAGAATTTTTCAAAATTAGTTTCTAGTATATATTTTACGTATCTCAGTAATTCACGTTTGTTACTTTTTTACTGATACAATTTGGATAACACTTTAACTTTCTATTCGTGGACCATCGATCGATTATAAGATCGTTTAACAGGTCTCTTGATGGCGAACGAGCGAGCGGGCAAATCTGACGACGTGACACGCCGTTAAAGTATCCGCTACGATCGCGAGGAAGGGTCGCAAGGTCGTTCGTGCGGCCCTACCCTTAAATTATTCAACAGCGGCGTGGGGTAGCCGGCCAACGCGCTGTCCGCTTCGAGTTAAGATATAGCGCCTCTAGTCACGAACCAGACGATGGATTTTCCGATGGCTCACCGTTCGATTCCCCAAGTTCTTCACCTTGCACACGAGATGCACCGTTTTCCCCACCAGCCCGGTAAAATTCGACTGCATTGAAATGTCAAAATGAGGACCGGTGCCTGGCGTCGGCCATTCCTCCAGGAAGTCGGTCCGAAAGTTTCGTAAGCATGACGCTATACCACCTGAAAACAAAAGTATCCTTACGATTAATGCTAATTCTTCTGAAAGGTGCCATTTATTAAAAATTTAAGATTGCACTAAAAACAGATCTATCGCGAATTGTAATCAATAATAGATTTCTGACGAGATTGTCAGATCGATTTTGTATAGCGTTACTTCTCGTTTATAAATGATTGGTAAGAATAAAATTGTCACAAATTTTCTATACCATTTTTAACGCAGTCATATCAGGTATGCCAAAACTGGCAACGGAATAATTGTATATCTCGTCTCATAATTCTTTAGTATAATAGCACACAGCACATTTGTAATGTCGTCGTTGATGTTTCGTATATGGAAAAAATAATTGTACTAAAGTACTAAATATTTAGGTAGATATAAATTTAAAAATATAATTTTGTTGAACCATCAAAATAATTATGTAAAAAATTCACGTATAATGTTAGTGAGCAGTGCTACATAAAGTTTTGTCATTGTAGCAACCAATTTGAGACCGTATACGTCCTACATAATTTATTTTAACAATCAAACAAAATTATTTTCAGACCTGTATCTACCTAGCTTTTAAATACTTGAGCAAAGCAGTTCTTTTAGTGCACATTTGAAGTTGATGTCCATGGAATATTCTAAGAATTCAGCAAATCTCTCAGCGCATTTACGATGTATTACATTTTACAAAGCTACTTGAATCTCAAAACGTGGAAACTCAGCATCAACCCGTTAACGTTTGCGTCACATCGAAGATCGTATGTTGCATCAACGTCACGGATTGTCGCGTCACATCAAGTCGCGCACGTGAAAGTTCGCGTGGCAGTACGCGAACGGACCTATTTAAATATATCACATTATATCTTGACGTGACGGTAACGTTCCTTTTCGTGACGGCAACACGACGTTACAGCCGGATTTCCCCTGAAATCTGCGCGTTACCGTGTACACGCATACCGTGCATTTACTAACTGCTAAGCTTATCACGCGTGCTATTCGAGAGATATTTTTTCCAGTGTATCTTGTAACGTTATATAGAACGTATGGGTGCGCGCGCGCGTGGAAAGATTATTCCATTGAAATAAATTAATTCTGTGGAGAGGAGACTACTCTCTCGATAGAAAACGCAAACGGATTTATTAACAGTTGTACGCAAAGCACGCGCTTTAAATATCAGATTAAGATATAAACTGAAATATCAATACTGTATGTTACAAAACTTTTTAAATCCATCATTGTGAATGTATTCAAAAAAATTGTCGATATTTGGAAAAAATATTTCATTCGGAAAAAATATTTCTGAAGCGTAACACAGTTTCTTTTGAAACGCGCGACATGTTTTTTTTCCCCAATATTAATTCCCAGCGTATCTTTTCTATGGAATAGGCTTTATTTTTTTGTAATAAAAGTTTTCGTTAGAAAAAATAATCTTGAACAAAATATAAATTACGAAATTTTTGCTGGAAAACATAAAATACTTGTAATATTTTTATTTAAAATAGTCCAAGTTAAAATAGTCTTTGTTTTCCAATATTAAGTATAATACTGTTTCTTTTTGGATTTCGTTATTTTTAACGTTAAGCAACGGTAGTCTCTAATTAAATTCCTTTTTTAACATAAAGTCATTTGCTGTAACATAAATATTGACAAATAGCATTTGCAAAATAATAAATGCAAAAATAGCATACATTTGGTGATTATTTCGTTTCCATATTTTCAGTTGTAGACAAAAATCATCATTAGTATATATAACGTAGGTAATTCTGCCAGTGCAATGTAAATATTTGGATAGCACTCTTCATATTATACATATTATCATCAAATTACCCATGTTAAGCCGAATATCCATGTAATTTCTCTTATTAAGTTTTTATTAGCTTTATCTCATTCTATAATTTTAAAACAATGCTGCGTTATATGCTTTTGCACGAGACACGCAATTGTGATTAAATACAATTTAATTACGTATCTTTTTACCTCTTTAATAAATGCATCCCAAATGCACCCTGGTGAAATGCTCATGCCATTACTTTTTGAATAAACAAGCATTTGCATTGTATATTTATGCATTACATTATATGAAGAGTATATTTTTCTAAAAAAAATATTTAAAAAATTGAACATAAATCTTTGACGTAACTTAAAATGCAAGTACTGGTGCTGTTACGTGCTATTTTGAGATAACTAATGCGAATGTTCTCTCCGGCGTTGACAACAATTCACGTATAATCCGCATTCTTACACTCGAATTCGCGATTCTTGATTAAGACGAGGAAATACATAGGCAACTGCAGCGGTGCAAATACCTGAGGCGCACGCACGAACTATCGCCAACTCCGGAATTGTACTTCCGGATCAGCTGTGTGCGGGCAAGCACTTTCTCAGTTGCGAATTATATTTCGTCAAGTGCTTCACAAAGCCAGACAGCCGTACGCCGCGAATTTCCGACTGCACCATGTTTAGGGCGAGTTCGCGATTAGAACGGAATTGCATGTACTCTCGCTCGTTGCCGGAGTTGATTTCAACCGGGATGAAGATACTTGCTCCACTTCCTCACTATACGCGTTGTCAGCGACAATATTTAACCGCCAAAGATCCTCGAATTATATAGTAATTTAACGAGGTCTCAGAGGCGATTCAAGTTGTGGAAAGATATTATTCTTTAATAGCAAAAAACACCAATATTAAATTTTATACTGCATATTGAAATTAATCTTAAGATTCTATAAATTTGTAGAAATTAAGAAATATTTAAAGACTCAAATTTACATCAAGACTATGATATTTACACAAAGAATAGATAAATACATTAAAAAGTAGAATAGAGCTCAATTGTATTAGGTCATTTTTTATTTTTATAATTAAAGTTAATTCTTTTTTCCAATCCTCTTTCGAAAAATTGCATTCGTGCGATAAAACTAACGCATTTCTTTGCGTTCTTAACATCGCCGCAAGACAACGATTAATCTCCGGACTTTAACGGGAGAATAGCTTCCGGGCTTGAAAGCGCTATGAAGTTAAAGGCGACGTAGACGTGCACGTAATATCAAACTTCATCGATGACAGGATTAAACATAATCGCCGCCGGCGCACTCTATTTCTCTTCGTACCTCCAATTTCGTCGAACTTTTCGAAATACTGGCCGACGTGTCGCGACGTGCCATTGCGGATAATACGAAACTTCGAAACGAATTGGTTTTCCGTAGCGTATAACGTCGCACACGAGGGCCGCGTGCTCGCGCGTATTGTCATAAAATAACCCTGGTAATTGCCTTTCAAAACTTTTCGCTAGTAGAAGCACTTCCGTGACGGGAGAACAGAATTCTGCCCAGGTTCGCGAGACCGCCACTCATTGGCGTCCGTTTGCCGTGAGGCCTCTTGCTGTTCGAGGCGTTCCCTCGAACAGGACCTGTTCGATGCAGATATGCCCGCACAAGCCTCACGTCATTCGTTTTCTGCTCGCGAAATTAATTTTCCTACTCGAATTCTTTTGCAGGAACTTTATCACGTTTCATGCGAGAAAAGTTCAGTCCGTGCACCTTTCATCGAAATTTCCAAACAAGGAATGCGCGCCAATTGGAACAACGATATTTATTTCCGTGCCGACGTATTCAATTAGTCTGACTGAGTCAATTGAGACATAATAAATTACTTAACTATAAATATCTCCTTTTTATGCTTGGTTTATATTTTTGAATATCTGTAACTGTATCGAGATATTTCTTGTAACGACTACATGAATATATCTATAATTAAATCTTCCTTTTTCGAAATCATTTATCTTTATATTTAGTTTGTTTCAAACAACAACAATTGCATATTTGCTAGAAACAAATTATCTTTATACAATATTATCACAGAAAATTTTACACAATATACTATATCACAAATAACTGCTAATATGAATTACTCTTATGTGATTGCTATTACGCTTTGCGTTCAAAATAGAATGTTTAAATTTGTATACGCATATATGCGTACATTAGCTGGATACGAAAGGGAAATATTAAGTTATTAATCACTTCATTCCATATGCAAATTAAATTATACAGATGTGGAAACAGCTGATAATAAGTAGACACGACATTTCACGTTCTATATTTCATATAGTCCCAATGCAATAATTTTTCGTATAACAAAACATCCACGTTTTCGTATCTTGTCGACAATTGTTATGATTGTTAATGCAAGCGAGCAAGTATGCAGATGATTTAAGTGCATTTCTCGATGACACGTGAAAAACGATCGGATTAAAATCTCCTTAGTGGAACGCTACGTTGTTGACGCAATGGGCTTGCTATTGATTCAAACGACCGTCGGTCGATCGAGTTTTATGGTTCTTTTAGCTGGAAGGGAGTTGAAACAAGTTCACCCCTGATTATCGGATCGACCAAGCTATTCTGTTGTACTAGAAATTAATTTTGTTCCGGAAGCTACGTGAACACGGATTTTCCCTTCGTTATGTATCGACAGTTTCGGATGTCACTTTATAATTTCTCTTTATTAAAATTCGGAAGAATTTTAAAACAGTTTAATTTTACGTCGCAATTTATTGGTATCTGTTTTTGCTGAGAGACTATCTACTTTATTAATATTTCTTTTTTTTTTATTTCGAAATTTTCTATTAGTAATTACTCAAACTTTTTCAACCCCAGAATGCTATCGATACGTAAATTTTACGTAAACGAGGTCATTGAGAGTTAAGCCATGGCTTCAGTGATCATTAGGAGGTTCAATCTACCGTATTAAAAGCTACAACAAGCGAAGATAAGCTTTTAAAAATTTTGTTTGTTATATATTAATTTAGATCCTTTGGTGATCAGCATTATATAGCAGAGAGTGTGATAAGTCATTTCAACTTTTAAGCAGCTTTGTACAGGGTGGGCCATCTATTGGTACGTTTTTGAATTTCGTCGTATGGCAACACCGAACGAGCTACAGACCCGAAATTTTGACAGTTTATTAGTCATACCGTCCGCGGCACGAAACAACATGTTTTCTCTTGAAGAGCGTTTTGAAATTTTAAAAACTTATTTTCAAAGTCAGTGCTGTGTCGCCGAAACTGTACGAATTTTGAAAAGAAATATGGGTCGTGATAGAGCACCCACCGAAGGAGCTATACGCAAATTGGTGAGGAAAGTTCGTGAGAAAGGGATGTTAGTGGATGACATTATATTACGACTGTTTTGAGTGAAATTGGCGCCGAGGTAGTCCAAAATGTCATTAATAATTGGGGTGACCGAATGGCATACTGTAAGGCCAGTAGAGGGAGCCACATGAACGAAATCGTTTTTCATTCTTGACGCGGATACTTTTAGCTTCACAAAAAAAAAAAATTAATAAAAAATATCAATGTATGCTCATTTGATCGCATTTTTAAAAACGTACCAATAGATGGCCCACCCTGTATTATTATTTTTATTGTATATATATTTTATTTAAGTATATAAGGAAACATGTATAAATAATTAAACTACATACTTCATATCATTTCAAGTAGGGATGCATCGGATCGTAAAATTAGCGGATATCGGATATCAGATATCCGGACAGAATGTAACATCGGATATCCAACATTTTCCGGATATCCAACCGGATTCTGAGAATGTGTCTTCTAAAAAAAAATGTCTATAGGCGAAGAAGATTGTAATTTTGCAACAACGTATAAGATGTATATTATAGCATTAAGAATATACATACTTATTTCTAGAACTTGTATAAGAAAAAATCAATAATTTAATGATATCAAATTTCAATCAGATATATTCCCGAATAATAATAATATCCGATCGAATAGTATAAAAGTGTCGGATAATACCGAATACCGGATACTTTCCAGTGCACTCCTAATTTCAAGATTGAATTTGATGGTATGCTTATTCTTTTTATCCTTTTAAGTTAATCGTTAGATTATTTGTGTTCATAAAAGTCTAAATTACAAATATTTTATCGTTAAAAGTGAGAAATGTATAAAAAAACTTGTGTTACATTTATTAAGAGTAATTTATTTGCTATTTGCCACTAATATGTAAAATTCACATATTAATATGTAAAATTTACATATTAATAGCAATATTGCTACTCAACATCGACAGCATTCTAGGGTTAATGTAATCTTTGTTAACTTTTACATATTTTTTCCAATCTTTGTGATTAGTGTATCAAATACTACTTTTTATTCATAATCAAGCTCTATATTTATCTATTGCAAATATATGCTATATAAACTCAGACACTCTCTTCTTTTCCTTTTTAAGATTCGGCTCTCGAGATATACTAAACACAGAAAATAGCTAAAGATAAAGACGCGTTTGCAAGGCAAGTTTATCATAGATGACGGATTATCCATAATCCTTCACCGGAAATTAATTTCGCGCTCGAATCCACAAGAACGATTTTTGCGCGGGTTCGATCGTCTGCCCGTCGCATATCATCGTTGTCTTTCCGATCTCCCCTGATGGAATTTCAACAAAATCATTTTGATATTACGAAGGAAAGGATATCACATGTAAATTGATCGAAATTGGAACTATTTCGAATCCTAAACTAATGGAAGAGGAGATAGAAATGTGGGTGCCAGTGTACGGTATATCTATTAGTAAGAAGACCTTTCATGTTTCGCGATACGTCAGATCAATGTCGTTTCGAGTTCGTTCGTAAATTGTAGAAAACTGCTACAAAACCTGACGGAGGATCGAGTATATAGATGGTTTTATACACATTACAATTATTTCAGATCCTAGCGACATCCAACGAGAAAGACTCAGACATCGCTATCATGCCTCATTCGTCAACCTAGAGGTAGATTCTTTTGGACATTGAAGGACAATGGTTGGTTTGACCAGCCAGCCGCAAAATCCTATTTCCCGTTGTACCTTGTCTCTCTCTCGGAATCGGCTTCCTCTCCCGCAGTCGGATAAGCCAACTTTGTTTCCTGGCACTCGAATATCCCGTATTCCCTTTTTTATTTCTTTTCCTTCCATTGGACAGCTAGTGCGAGCTTCTGCGGTCGCGTTTCGATGGATGGAAGAAGAGAAAGAAAAGAGCGGAAGAGGCCACTGCAATTGCAAAAAGCTCCGAATCGAATGCGTCTGCGTCATTGGTATATCGGTTGAGGCTGTCAGAAACGTTTGGAAGATTCAGTTAGAAGAATAGCATTAGTTTGTTCGATTTGATGCATCGAAATGATTTGTTTAAATGGATCAACCAATTCAATGTTACAATAGTAATCTGAGCGCACATGTGCTTGCATTTATAATTATTTTATAGTAATTAATATTAAAATAAAACCGTAATCATTAAATGTTATAATAAAAGTAATAATGAGAACGGAATCATATTTCTAATTGTATAAAGATATGCGATTCGAAAATTTGAAATAATTAAAAAAATATGATTAAAGAGATTTCCATCAAAAATTTAATTTTAATTAATCTAGAAATCCGTATATTGGATATTAACGTTTTCATTACGTTACATAATATTTCAATTAAAAAATTAAAAAATATTGGATATTAATATAAATAAATAATTTAATAAAGTAAAAACTCTTTCGCGTAAATCGCGTAGGTACTGCAGCGAGATGTCACATTATAAAGTTAACAATAATTGTTAACTCCGCTTAATTGTACAGAGTGCAACCATATTGCAACAAACTTTCGCGGAACAATTAGAAAATATTCCACAACAAACGGTTTCGTAGCTGCAAGAGAAGTTTCATAAATAATCAAGTAATTACGTGTTTCAGTTCATTACATTTTTGATGACTAACATTCCCTCTCTGGAGACTACATTCTTATATATTTCCGATTCATCCTATGGTAGAGATCCATTGTGCTTCGCTCCTACATTTCGTATTCCGTATTTCGTATCGATTTTAGGGAAAGCAAATCTCTGAGCCATAACGAATGATTCGTATATCCATCCATTTATCTATCTACATAGCTAATGCCCGGCTCATGTATACCTATCTACCTGTTTACCCATCTACCTAATGTACTACCTACTTGCGCGTCTCGAAGTTACTAGACTTTCCGTCTTCCATCGAGCACACGCTGCACACTCGGGACTCTCGATAGGGAGAAGATGGGGCGTAAGTAACTATCGCGAAAACTTTTCATGCCGCTTTTACTCCCGGCTACAATATGCTTCACAAGATGGAAATAGCGCTTGGCACTGCTATGTGACCTCGCGCGAACTCTGCCATCCGGCGGCTGTCAGTGTCGTTAATTTCCGATCAGTCATGTGAAAGGAGGTGAGAAAGCTCTTAATTCTTCCATTAATCTTTCGTTGCCTCCTTTATCTTGCAAATAAGTAACGTAAGGAAGCAATGTCACACGTTTCTACACGTCGTTCCTATTTTTGTTGAACTTGCTCGATTGTTAACGAATCTCGCTGTCTATTTCCATTACCCCGCCGTCTCATTAACATTACCGCTAATGAAGACAGTGGGTCGGCGAGAAAAGCGCACAATTTTCCTAACTTTATAAAATCCGCTGTAAAGTTTGAGATCCGTGATTGTGTAAACGCAACATTAACACGCAACGCTCGGAGACACGATCGTCGTCTCTTCTGAATAGCAAAACGAAGATCACCACATATGTCGACACATATCCTCCTAGAGTCACTCTCTCGTCACTATTACGATAACCTACGTTCCGGTAGTACAGCTCATTAAGTTTTAACACAGTCGATATGTCTATGTCGCGTAATTCTCTGTCCCTCTGATAATGTTAATAACGCGTCACATTGCAAATCGTGAAGCATGATGGGCAGAGTGTGCTGCGAGAAGCTGTTAGTGAGTCGTTAGATAATAAACGTCTGAGTCGTGATGAACGGCGAACACGTGATTGCGACGACACAGGATCGTCGGAGTGGCGAATATCAATTATAGCGCGTCAAATATAAACCATTTATTCTTGATCAGCATACGTTATATACGTTATATACGATTTATTTGAAAAAGATTAAATTAAAGATTAAATTAATTTCAGCTGTTCACGAGTTAACGCGTCATCGCAAATGAGATATTAATTTCGTCTGCCATATAAATTTTCGATAAAATTAGGACGTCATGTTTTGCGTCAAATTATTGTCTTTTTCAATATGCTAATATATATACCGTGTTACATTCCAATTCGGTTAAATTAAAACTGCGTCTTTCGCGGTCGGTGCGATAGTAATTAACTGAATTTGAAATTTGAATTTTAACGACGGACCACGTGCGGTTTATTGCCGTCGTTGTTTTTAATTATGCCGTCACATGTGAAAATGAACGAACAAAGACGCGCGACCGAGAATGGGAAAAAAATCGCGCACACGATGGCAAGTAATATATAATGGAACGCAATGGTATTAAGCAGAGTTATACCCGTACTTTCCTCTTGTGTGTCTCTTTCTTCTCTTTTCCGGACGTTTTAGTTACGAGCCGTGACAGTTGTGCCATGACACATTTCATTCGGTGAAACGCATACACGCTAGCGACACGTGAGAAAATCGCCGCGAGTTTTCGCAATGACACTGATTTCATCGAAGAAACTTCGAGCGCGAATTCAGCGTCGCACACATAAGGATGAAAATTACTACCTACATTAATCCGCGTGTAATTCCATCTTCCCGAAACTTCACCGATGATCCTCATACAATCGAATAAATCTCAACCTTCACTTTGATAATAATTTAAAATAATTTAAAATAATTTAAAATAATTTAAAATAATTCAAAATTATCTCTGCCTATATTTCTTTTTTTTTTATAGTATTGATAAAGTATAAAGTATTAGAAAAAGTATGAGACATGTTGCAGCGATAACTTTAAGTTTACTTACTGTCATCTTACTTTAACTATCATTTAAGTGTTAGCGACAAGAGTAATTTATCACACATGTATAGTATAAGTGTATAGGTACAGTCGCGAAACGCAGTACTCTGTAATTGAAGCTACGGCTACATGTAGGTCGGTTAAAATATGCACGCGCTGTCATTGCAGAGTCGCTGCTCTTTTTTTCGTTTTATATACAATCTCTCTGTGAAACGTTATTTTATGCGTATCCGAGTGAAATGGGAACTTGGTGGAATTCCGACGAAGTGCGAATTTTATAAAATCGAAAACAGCTCGAAGCATAAATGATTGTACGTTGTGCTGGCGATTAATATGTATTTTATTGAAAACTTTTATCAGCAATTCGTTCAGCCGTTTGAGCTAGAAATTAACACAAACTTGAATACTGATCGAATGTGTCTGTGACCTAATTTACATGATGCCTTTTTACTAGCATGCTAGTACTTTAGCGAACTAGAAAACTAGTAGTTAAAAATGTATTATTTTATAAGTTATATATTATATTTTTTAAAAATTCTAGTAGCTAAAAATATATAATTTATATTGGTTTGGGAAAGTCTTTTCACAAGTTGGTAAAATATCTTTCCTCATTAATTCTTCGTTAAAAATGAAAAAATTTAAATTTTAGAAAAGGATTTTAAAGCTTGAAATCTCTGCTTTTGAATGGTTACTATATTTTTTTGAATATATGTGAGGTTTGTAATTTTTACATATAAAAAACTACGAACTGAAAAAATGAAAAATTTTCTTTTTACTTTGTAGGTCTTTTACTTGTAAAAGGATTTTTTTCCCTAACCTAATATTTTTCAGCTGCTAGTTTTTACAATTTGCTAGAAAATTAGTTGCTAGTAAAAAAAGCATCGTGTAAATCAGACCTATTTGGTCTATACATCTATACATTTTCGTTCAGTCATCTTGGCAATATCTTATATATCATGAATGAACATATAATTGACAGACTCAATCCTATTTTCTTTTTAAAGAACTTTTATCGCCGGCGTTATACTGATCATTGAACTTTTTAAAACTATATCTTGTATATTTTCACAAGAAAGTTTGAAATACATCGTTTGCGCCAAATGCCAAATATTGGCTTATTTCCGAGAAAATTCTCGATCTTTTATCCGTCTGTTTCTACTTTTCTAATAGAGACGATGTACTCAGGATGCGTTAAGAATTACTGTACAAATTTTCCAACAGAAAAAGTATGAATAATATGATAAGAAAACTCATGAAATATGTAAAGCTAATAGAACTAAAAGAACAAGTCAATATTCATATCCGTTCTTACTTCAAGATTGTCTTAAGTAATGTCTTAAGATTCTAATATGACTGTGTAATTGGTTTATATTTAATATTTAGATATTTTAAGATTGCACTTAAAATGATCTTAAATATTAGAATTGATTTTGAATGCTTAGCCTATGAAAGAGTATAGAATATAAAACAAATTAGAAAAAATACTAAAATAAGTAGTAAGGACACTCCTATATATATATACGTATATAAGAACAATTTACAGCAATTATTAATGCCCGTTTCTATCAATATATATTAATTTTAATGTCGATTCAATTTATTCTTAATCTTTTCTATCCATATAGAAAGATTGCAGAATGATTTCATTGATTGCAATATTGCATGGTGATTGCGAAACATTGCTGAATCATTGCAAAATTCCAATAATATTAAGATGTCCACTTTCTGTTATATTGCAAAAAAACATTCCATATTGTAATGTATTTGAATAAATTTTTTACGAAGACTCTCTAAAACTATTTCTATACATGTATCTCACTAACTTTAATTTTTCTACAAATCGCATTTCTAGTGATATGTGCTTTCCAAAAGCAATTTTTTTGGTAAAACCGTAAAATATTCCAATAAATATAATATTAATTTCTGAAGAATAAATTTATTCGTAAGGATAAAGCACATGTGTGCCCCGAACAAACTACACAAATATTATTGACATTAATATAATAATACAGTCGCTTGATAAGTTAATCACGGATTAAATTAATCGCAGTGATTCTTTTTAATTTAAAACCACTTCAAGTCAATTGAAATCGATTAAAAATGATATAAAATTTATCAATAAAGTTCGAGCGCTGGTTTATTCTTGCATTCACATCAGGCATAAATACATCATCGATCACATAATTAATATTTCGATAAATCGTTTTTAGCAGTTTAATTGCTTATCATCTTATCAATAATGTTGCATTGATTATATCCAAACTCGATATTACACAATCTTTTGATTTAACATATTTAAAATAAATATAAAACTTAGCTAATGAAATGGCTGTCAAATAATAGATCAATAAATAAAAAGACTGTACTACATAAATATTGTAGAAACTTACATATTTATATTATTATTATTGTAACAATTAAAGAATTACAGTTTTGCAATGTTTGTGGAATATTACAAGCATATTACTGACATTTTGCAGAAATATTGTTAATTTACATTTCTGTAATACCTCTGCAATGTTACATTGCAATCTGTAATATTGCAACATGGTAGCAATATTAATCTTCTGTGCTGTATGAGTATTCATTTTTCTAATTTTTAGAACTAGAAGAAGATAAAGAATAAATGAATCGACCGATATTAAAATTAATCTACATTAGTAAAAACAGGCGTAAATGTGTTTACAATTCATTTATTATTTATTTATTATTTATTTTATACATATTTTTCAAAATAAAAATGAAATTATGAAAAACTTATAGATTATTCTCAACCACATTTAAAAATAATACGACAAATTTGGTGAAAATTTACTATCTGGTACTATAAGTTATTTTAATAAATAGTAGTATTTTTTAAATCTGTGCTCTAATAAAAAATATAGATGGAAATGTCTTATAAAATAAATGACAAAAATCTTAATTTTTAAATATAAATACATATTGCGTATTCAAAATTATTTGTGTATAGAATTACATTACGATGCATAAACTAGTTGCCCAATAAATATCTAAAATATTTATTTGTTCTATATGTTTGTAACTAATCAATAAATGAAACTTAACAATTATTTTGAATATTTAAAGGACTTATTTAAAAAATTTAGATTTTTGTTATTAAAAAAATTTTAATTTTTAACTATAAAAATAATAATAAATAAAATTAA